CTTGGAAAATGTAGCATCTGTATCATGAATATGGAAAAAAACTTCTGGCCCCTCCCAAGACTTTACAATTTGCTCCAAAAATAAGTACAAAATGTACCTAGAAGGCCAAATGTCTGACTGGTGACTTGGCTTTCCAAGTCCAAGAAGCTGTTGGTCAGGTATTATATAAAGGACTTACTCCATTAAGAATGTGTCTGGAATGTTATGGATGATAAATTGTACAAACGAAATGAAATGACCAAAGCAAAAAAAAAAAAAACATAATAAAAATAATAAAAAAAAAAACATATATTCTGAAGCACGCTGCAGTCTAATATAACTCTGTTTACGCAGTAAACTCCATCTTCGGTCTCCGTCTATGCACATTGCACCCCCACATCCTCATTATGCTTACAGTTGTGAACACCAACTTCAGAGTGACGACAGTTAAAGATATCAGACTCTGTTCCTGTGCACTGCAGCTCATCCAGCCATATCTTACCGACACCTACAAGAAAAGCATAAATTAAACAAACTTTCTGAAGAACAATTATAAACAAGATTGAAGTACCTTATCATTTTCACAACAATATTTTATCTGTTGTTTTCCCACTAACTTTTGCACAATCTCTTCTGAAAATATTAGTACAAACTATGTGAAAAGACTTAACACCATTCAAAAAAAAAGAGATTAAATAACCACTTGTAAAATAAATCCAGTTTGCAGTATGTTATGGTGGCCCAGCCAAGCACACTTCTTCTGGCAGCCACAGGAAGTAATAGCTGTATCTTTCCAGTATTGGGTTCAATAGTATTATTACTTAATAACTCCCTTATTTCTGCTGTTAGGAAGTACTGAGTTGTATTTGTTCCTTTTCTCTCATTTCCCTTTTCATGGTCTGCTCCTCAACTTTGTTTTAAAATTTGGGGATGTTAATGAAACATTACTTTAGCTTTTCATATTTTAATTAGCTGCCCTGGTTGTAAAGGCTGCTATGGTTATGCATTATAACAAATGTCCTCAAAATAAAAGGCATGAGAAAATCCCTGCACTGTATCATTGGTAGTTTTGTGTGTGACCATATAATCTTTTAACTAGCAGATGAACCTTTTTGCTTTAGCCCAG